ATATTCCGTAATTAAGTCTGGACATGGTATCGGTTTTATATAATTAATAAGCCCTAACAAATTTAACGCCGACATAAAAGAAAGTCAGGAGATCGATGCCCCTGGAATTGTATACGCGTGACACAAGTTACACAGATGACTTTCGTTCTCGGGATCTGAAGGAGGATTGAACTGCGCGCGCCAGCTTATTAAATTCAGATACGGATTAAATTAACTCGCTGACGGAGCTCGCTACCTTTCGTCAGTTGAACAACTCTATCTTTATTTGTTTCGAGACCGAGATACCGCGCCGCTTCGAACTACCGTGCGGAACAACAATGAACAAAGCGTGTAACTTTCAGATAACTTTGTCGGCCTGCGTTCGAACGTAATCCACTTGCGAGGCTCCGTAGAAATCTTAGGAGAAGTCAAGTTAACGAAGTTTACGGGAAGTTGAACGTTATTCGGCACGGCATCTTCTGTCGCAGTTATCCGCGTTTCGATTTGTCCGTAATGTTTGCACCTTCGACAGCGTTGACGTCGTCGGTGGATCAAGATGTGGCGTTTCATAGCAAACGCGAATTAATTACATGGTGATCTTACGTTGACGCATAATAGCTTTCATCTTATTATATTGCTTACAACGTGATGATTATTATGAATATTTTAATATTTCATCGAAGAGGTGATAAATGGGGAGAAACGATGATTGCATAAGTCAACTTATAGAATCTATGCTTATACTAAGAAAATACACCCGACACAGTACGTTTTACTTTTTTTCGCTTACTACAATAGATATTTTACTAGAAATTTGCATAATATATAGTTAAAAATTAGAAACTGAATGTACAGTCTTTATTTTTAAGACGCCCTTGCCGGATAGTAGGGAAGGCCAGGTTCTCATCCTGGCTGAGGTAATATTTTTCGCAATATATTATATTATTTACAGATTATTTCTAAAAGATGCTTATTAGGCACGAAGATCCGGCATGGCGTTAGGCCTTTCTGAATTTATTTTTGTTAATTTGTTAGTAATCTCTTATGTTTTTTAGCAAAAGAAATTGGTGTCTTCTTAGGATTACGTTAACTTGTTTTACCTCACATATATGTCTTTAGTTATTTTAGTTATTTTATTGTATTATCAGAATACAAATTCGAATGGATTTAACTAGCCGTCAGAATGTGACGCGTTCAATATCGTGGAAATGAGAGACAAAGAGAATAATTTATCTACATCTTTTTTAATCTTTGTTTTTACTACTTTTACTGAGAAACGTTTTGCAAATATCGATCCAATTCCCAATTAGCATCAAACAAGCGAAATATATTTTCGTCGGACGAGATAACGAATGAATAGGTGACATTCAAATATATTTTCTATTACATTTTATTAGATAACAGCCGAGTAATTTTTTTCCCCGTTTTTTTTTACGTCAGAATTAAGCTTTAAAAAGTGCCTGCTTGTTATTTATGAACTTGAAATGAAATGCAATTTGGAACTTTACAATTTACTAATTAGTCAATTGGAGGAGAGGAAGGGAGAAAGAAAGAACTTTGCGAGTTCGCGAGAATTTCGCGATGCAGTCTTACATTGATACCGTGAATCTCGATAGTTTCGTAGACAATGCGTTCTTGGCAACTTTGCGACTCCCCAGTGAATATGCGCTCGTCAGTTTTGCATGTATATGACTATCTGCATAATCTATACTAACTCGCGCAACATGTACGTGTATGTTTGCTATAGCGGAGGTCGTTGGCAGACTCAGGTGTGTCGATAACTCATTCCAAGTGCCTTGAGATACTGTATATATTTTTCCTCCAATAACTACCACGGTTCCATGTATGCGAAAGTCGTCGTTCGCGTTTCACGATTGCGGTTATTCTGAGCGATTTATCGATTTACGAAGAAATTAAGTCGCAGTTATTGAATCCCGGGCTTTAATTAAGGTAAAAAAAAAAGAGATGTATTTATTATGTTATCACGATAATCGAAGTCGTCGTGTAAAGCATTTAATAATATGGTGTATTTATCAAGTTTTTTTAGTGAACCAATAAAGGTGAAATATCAAAGTTAATAGAAAATTGAAGAGCGTGTGTGTGCATTTATCGCACTTATATTAAAATGCTCGATGAAAGCTTTTCTTCGCGAGAACAACGTTCAATAAATGTAACTTCCAAGTAAATATCTTTTTATCTTAATGTGATTTTCCTTACGTTTGGAAAGTCTGTCCAACCGGGAACATTAATCTTCTTCAGATTTTAATAGACATGACAACGAGTGTTCGGTCACTCCCTTATGACTGATTTATATAACGGGAAGGAAGAACGATGCACGTTATGTCCTGTTTATTTTCCCTCTTTTTATACATATAATATATGAGAAGTCTACTTGAATACATTTTATCACCAGCATGAATTCTCTTGATTATACAGAAATAATTTACGCGAACGTTTAATTACACAGCTGTTAAATGTCGATGTTGAATTTAAGGATGAATAACATTAAAAGTGTTTCTGGAATAAATCATCGGCTAAAATTAATGTGTAAATATTAGACTGTTAAAGATCACATTTTAAAAAAATTGAGAGCGTTAACGTGAAATGAATATTAATGAATAATTCTTAACTATTATCCACCATTATGGAAAGCAATTTTTCATATTTTGTTACCGTCAGTTTTGATACTCCTGATTTTTTTGTCAAGGGGTAATTATCTGACGTAATCGGGATCGAGAACTAATTAAAACTATGTCGACGCATTCATCGGATCGTCGTTAGGATGGAATTAGACAGGATTATCGGAGCAAGCGTCGCTTCTAAATCTTTCTCAACTGATCTCGGCACTTGTAATTTGCATGCAGGCAGAAAAATATACGTTGGCGGATATAATAAGGGTGGGTCCGAAGTGCAGGTCGAAGTGCATACGGGTCGATGAGGGCGAATTGCTCTCATAATAAGTCGTTGAAAGTCATTGAAGTAACGCCCCCCCCCATCTTTCGCACGACGTTCTTTAGCGGACGGGGCGATAGAGCCGAGCCTTTTGAAAAGTGCACATTTGAGATCCGTCTTTTAACCCCTTATCCGTCGCCTCCAAATTACGCGTGACACTTATTCATGACCGGATTATTGAAGTCTTGCTTGGTTTATAAGTGTGTCGCGTGTCGTTTAATATATTTGAATAATGGAGGAAACGCGGCGTGTTAAGCGGAACAGTTAGAACTTTGAAAATAGTGGAAACTATTAATACAGCAAACACATGAATATGTAAGATCTGTGAGTCCTTTACGATGCAAATTGTCCTCACGGTTTCACCGTGAGCGAATTCACCGTAATTTGTTACAATTTATCGCTTGTGATTCCCTCGCAAGAAAAATATATCTTTTTATTTTGAGCGTTGCTCAAAATAACAGTGTATAAAATATGAAGAATATAAATAGTTCTAAACAATATTCTTCATAAAATATAAACATAAGTTTATATTTTCAACCATTTTTATATCCGCTTTTTTCCTGATTTTTCAGGGAGGGATTTACGTTTCAAATAAATTATGTTCGATTATGCAGTTATAAGTTTTGTGCTCGTTAAATTTAGCATTAAATTTTGAATATAATAAATAAGTTATAATGTTTGTTATTTTATTATGTTGGATTAATTATTATCATGAATTTTGAAAAACAAAATTAAAACCTTCTCGGAGATGAATAGCAAAATCTAGGGTTTCAGGAGCATGTAAAAAAAAAGGATATATTTTATTTCGAAATTCGTAGTGTTTCCAAGGTTTGTATATAACATGATATTTTTCACCTATCATGTGAAAAATTCATCAATGATTTTCCTATATTAAAGAAATACTTTTATTAAAAATCTTTCGAATACCCTGCGGCGCACCGTTAATATTTTGAATATTTGGAACAAATATTTTGATTGAAAAGATATACTATGCAAATGCAATGCTTTTATCGAAATTAAAAAGTTTTGTATCTCAGCCGTTTATTTGTTCTTCATATGTTTTCATTAAAATAATGTTAATCGCGCGCTTTCGAAATGTGCGTTGACAGAATCGTTATGAGTTTCCTTTATGAAGGAGTATTTATCTACCAGAATTGTTGTTATTTTAGTTTCCGTGCTGTTTGGCGATATGCGCTCTCGAAACATCGCGCATATAAGGTGCATTCTTAAAGGTATACGGACATGCTCACGCGTGCGAATTTTGTTGCTGCGGACATTGAATCGTTGCCAGTGTTTTGCGCCTGCTTTATCCAGCTGTGCTCTCTAACTTGCCATTACAATTTGGATTGTTTCCAACTGATGCCTCGCGTACGGCGTGAATTTCGACGTAGGCTTTTTGTTTCAAGGGATGTACGAAAAGGTGTAATGGGATAGGATTTAAAGAAACTTGAAAAAGAAAATAGCAATCCGAGTGCTACCACTTGTGATATTTCTCACTTAACATTTGATACTATGTTTGAGTGAGGTGTTGACTTATTGTTAATTCGTACATATGACATGTTAAGAAAGAAATATCACGTACAAATTGTAGCACTATGTCAATGCCTTCCACTGCTTGGCCATTCGATGCACTTTGTTAATTCGGTGCTTTTAAGGCGTAAAAATATCTTTGAGAATCAAAGCAATTTGTAAAAAGTGACTTTGTCCGTCAGGAAACTCAAACATTTTGTGTGCTCTTAATTATATTAATTTCACTTCGCTGATATTGATTATGTATCCTTTTTATAAAGAGAAGATCTTGATAGCGTGCGTGAAAGCGTTTTTGTTTAAAAATCAGATTCAACGCTGTGAAATCTTTCACGCATATTTTCAGCACACGATTTATCCAAAAATTTTGTAGCACAGTGTGATTAGTTTGCAAGCTAAGAATTAAAGTTGTTCCAGTGATTTCAGTGTCAGAGATATTCGCTATGTTTTTCGTTTTAATGGGACTTAAAAAGAAGTGATAGTTATATACACGCTGCAGTGGCGTGTTCTCACCCCCATCGTTTACCTGCTTAATGTTGCAGTCACCAAGCTGAGGGAGCACTGGGATGAGACGAATTCGAAAGTCATGCAAAGGAAGACGCAGTTGGACATGATGCTGGGAGACAGTCAACGATATGAGGCGAAGAGAAACGAGGTGGAGGTCTGGCTAGCACGAATGGAAACTAGACTCGAGAGAATGCGAGCTGTGGGACACACCGCCGACGTACTCGAGGCGCAGCTCAGGGAACAAAAGGTACATCGAACTCCCTTTCTGTCTTTCTGCAAGTAACCGCGTTAGCTCTTCGAGTCGATGAGTTTTCAGTGCTCTGCGTGAGAAGTGTCTTTAGCGAATGGTGAGAATAAAAAAGGAAGAGCGCGACAATGCATCTGCCTATTCGGTAAGACTGAAAATGTTGAGTAATTGATGCAAATTTAATGAAGATTGATATAATCTGTAAGTTGACACGAGAAGAAAATTTATTAAAGCGCCGGTTATTTGGTGGAATTGCGTTGAAATACTGTTACGTTGGAATGTTACAAAGGCATTCATTATAATCTAGTATCTTCATGCTTTGAACGGTATCAATTGTAAACAGTGTTATCTTGCGCCTCGTCGTAATATTTAGAAACTTCTAATTTTGGCCTTACGAAGATATTCTATTTTTTTAATGTAACGTAGCTCATTTTCAATAGGTTTCAACAGTGCATTTTTAACCTTTTCCGTGATATTGAACGAGATATCTGCTGACTAATATTATTTCGTTGTACAATAGAAAAGCTTGCGCATTATAACTTTCTCCGGACACAGATTACGTAACATTAAATGTTAGAAAATTTGTTTCATCATAAAGTTTATCATTATAAAAATTTATGCCGCAAATAGCGTAGGAGTATTATAAAATTTCTTTCGTATTATTATGTAATATGCCTACGCAAGCACTGAACGTACATGAGAAGTTTGCAAATGTTTTCTAAAAAGCCACAAACTTTTCTCATTCGTAAGCAAAATTAAAGAGAGCGAGCCTTTTTGGAATCCATCTACCCAGTAATAAGCCCTTTCTAGTAATTTTCTCCTACTTTGCATACGAGAGTATAACGCAGTCTGAGAAAAAAGGTTGCGGGGAGGGAATGGAGCTTCCAACGTCTCAATCAACGAGATCTCAGCTGGCGAAGCACATTACGTGCGAGAAGCTCTGTTTAGATTCAAAAGAGCCGAGTGAGATATTCATGGAATAATTTATTTTCGCAGTAGTGTTCCTTCACATTTCCTTTGAGTGGAACGCACTTGCTGTGTTTCTTACGAGCCTTATGTATGTCTCCTAAAGAGATTCCTGAATGGAATGGCTCATGAAACCGTCCTACATAATTATTTTGTTGTTTGCGAGCAATATCTCGATTTTAATATCCTTTTATAACATAATTTTATTTTCACGAGCATCTCTTTCAATCGCGATCTTGCAGTTTTCATCTGCTAAAAAAAAGTTCATTATTTATACAGAGGTTTTATCTCAATGCACTTTGCAAGTCTGATCGGAACCAATCAGTGCCGACGGATATCCAAAGAAAAGTTGCATCGTACAGTATATCGGCGTAAAACTTTTAGTCGAAGCTCTCTTCGAAGGTTTAACTTCGCTGACTTATCGAGGCTCGAGTGCAAAAGAGGCACGGCTTCTTCTAACTCGATACGAGGCAAGAGTTAGATAAGTTTCCTTTTTTCGCCCGCTGGCCCACCTTCTTCGATTTCACGATCTCGTTCCCTTTCTTTTCTTCACAGTCGTTTCACGCCGAGCTGCACCAGTACAAACATCACATTGAACTTTTTAATCAGCTCACTCAGAAGCTGATAGCGGTTTATCAGCAGGACGACACGACACGAGTGAAGAAAATGACGGAAACGATCAATCAGAGATACAACAATCTTAATACGAGGTAAAGTAACGATGATTTTTTATTTGCCAACATTTTTTGCAATTTTTGGAAACATTCTTTTTACAGTTTAGCCTTTATCGATATTAAGCTCATGAGATAAGTAGAATCAAATAAACTGAATTCATTAGATTGTTAATTGATTAAAAAATACTAATGAATTTAGTGAATATAAACTTTGATATTCGTTTATGTACAATATGTTTTAAAGCAGATTAAGTTTTCTGAACTACAGCTATCAGAATCTAACTGAAGAAATATGTATAAAAATGTAGAAAAAAATTTCTTGTTTCCTGATTAATTCGCTGCAATTTTTATTTGAATACATTTTTAATCTGTACTTTATTTACCGAGATATTTTATATATTGAAAGTTATAAAGTTGTATAAGTGACAATGGCGAATAATGAGTAAAATAATAAAATTTTTGTTAATAGAAGATTGAATTCTCCGAGTGTGCCAATAAAGAAATCGTAATCGCGAGAAAATGTTCATCTTCTAGGGTAGTTTGTAGACCAAACATGGCGCATTTACTCTAGTATTTCCGTCGCGTCTATAGCGTCTCGAGTTAAGGAACTTTGCTTCGAATTAAACTGTAGATCACGAATGTAATGCTGTATCGACCGATCCGTTTCCAGCATCATCAATCGAGGGAAACTACTGCACTCCGCGATGAACTCGCTCCACAACTTCGACCGGTCTCTAGACAAGTTCTTGGCCTGGTTGAGTGAAGCAGAGTCCTCGATGGAGGGATTGGAAGCGGAAGCCGATCGACTGGGTGGACGACGAGACCAGGGCGCGCTCAGACGACCGCAACATCAGCTTAAGGTAAGATTGTCACGTTCGCGCAAATCTCGCGACAAGTTCCGACACGGTACCCTGGTAGCGTAAGTGTTATGATCCGATGTAACACAGCCGCAAATTGCGTCGTTTATCGTTGCGACACGAGAAATCGCTTATTTTTTTCTAATTACTCGAGCTGAGCATCTTTCGCGATACGAGATGTTACTTTCTTTATGATTTATGCCAGTAGCCGTGCATGTAATGGAAAATATTGGCCGTCTAATTTTAGATATTCATCCATAAATGTATCAGTAGATCGGCGCAACTAATGATAACACTGAGCGTCTTTATTAGCGTTGCAAAAGACAGAGAAAGTCGCGTGTACGCTCACGCGTTGCACGCTTTAAAAAAGACTGCCATGGGGTATCGTTAAAATAAGTAAATGTATCGAATTTTTTAATCGCATTAAAACTAACAAAATAACATTTTCAAATATAAATCCTTTCTGTTCTGACACAAGACAGAATTATGTCGTATCAACAAGATTTTCATTTTAATAGGAAAGAAAAGGGGAAAGATTTTATTAGAACGGTTTAGTAGCAAGATAATCAGGTATTTTACGAATATAATTTTATGGATATTTGACAAAACGTTTGAATTATTTTTTAATTATCGCATATTACGATTTTTACTTATTGTGCAAGTTGAATTTGTTTTTTTGATACGTTTTAAATTTTATTACAAATTGCTACGTACGCGACATTCCCGTGCGAATTATACGGAAAAATATATCACGGCGCATGTTGGGTCAAGCAGAGGACCAAATTTTTTATCATGCGTGCATCACAATATGGATTGATTAGGAGTTCAATGCGTTTCGATCGGATCGCACAATAGCGTTCGTCAAGATTTTCGATCTCTTCGCGTTGCGCATTTTTCTGCGATACGTAGCCGGTTTTGCGACCGATTGCTATAAAAGCGTATCAAAACGTCAAGCAGTCGGCGTATCGACGTATCCATTAAAAAGAAGAAGCTCGATATCGAGTACCGATATAATGCGGCGACGGACCATCAGTCTTTGCGCTCGCGAAATGTGCTTTCCGCTTTATATACGATTCCCAGAGCGTGAAGATTTAAATTCTCGTACGCCACGCGTGCGCTCGCGGTTGTTTTTCGTCGCGTTGACGCATCCGGTAAATTTCTCACCGCAACTGGCAGCCATTGCATTCACGTGCTGTGATTTAGTTACCCTGTAATTTTGCATTTGAATCGGATGCTTTTCACGCGACCTCCGATGTTTTTTGCCGGCACGTTACCGATTTTTTCACGGCCGTTGAGCATTTCATTAATTTGCAAGCGATCATTCCCTTCGTTCGTCACGCGGTAAACGTAGAGCAGCGAGATTCTCGTGGAGAGAAAAGAAAACAAATTTCTCACGAGTTTGTGCAATATTTATTGAATTGCGGAAAGAATTTCACGCAATTTCACAATTTTAGATAAAACAACGATTTAAAAAAAGTCGAATGTTGAGTTAATACTGTTTATAAATAAATCGTGCGGCGATAGAAATCGAATCAGATACACAAGTAGAAAATGAGTAATAATGAACGTTGAATGCGTTTTAGTAAGACCGCGTAATTATATGCTGCGTGTGCGCGATTATTAATCATTTCAAGAGATAGCTTGCGAAATTTCGTACTGATGAACCGCGCTTTCGTACTGACGTTGTACCACACAATATAGTATCTCTATGTGTTTCTTGTTCTGAAACTAATTGACTTTTAGTATTGAATTATGAGTGAACGCGAACATGACCCACGCGTCTGTGGGGATCGTTATATTGTAATACTTCTATTCCATAATTATTGACAGCAACTCTGTCAGTACGTGTTTGCAGTCGCCTTACCCGTTACGTTCTATTTGCTCGCCGAGACAGCACTAATTATTGACAGAAACAAGCGCGATTACCGTCGGTGAGCTAGACTTTGATCGATTGCGTGTAATATTTAAGAGCAAACGATCCGTCATTGAAGCTTTAGTTTCTTGCATTTTAGAAGCAGACACCGCGTTGGTCAAAGATCAGTATTTTTAAAGTGAACAAAATTCGGAAGGTAAATTTTTATTACTGCCTGTTATTTACACTGCAAGCTATTTATTGCTTAAATTCTGGTTTCATTTGATTATTTGGTTTTTAATTTTAGTCATATGCGTTCGAAAAAATTGAGCTTTGATACATTATCGGAAAAATTATTAGTATCGTTTTAGTGTGACGCATATTGTACTTTATTGCAATATCTATGTATTTCGTTTAATTGAGAAATATTGTATTTTTAAGAGAATCTTTTCGCGTGTACTATTATTAAACAAATTTTTCGTTAAATTGCGTTAAAATTCAATTGAGATAATCTCTCTATTAAATTTTAAAACAATTTTTACAAAAGTGCGCATATTATTTAATTTGTTATGAGATCAAATTTACTAATAACATCCCGTTATACCATAATCACTTATATTATGGCGAATCTCTCCTCTCCGATTCATTATCGAAATGATCGATCGCTGACAATAAAATTTACTCCATTGCTAGTAACGAAAGCAAACGATTAACATAATAATCTTTCTTCATTAATTTTCAACGATAGTTGACAATATAATATTTACAATGTTTGCTATTGTGTGTTGGAAAATTTAACATAATGTTGATAAATATTATAAGATTATAATGAATATTGAAATTAGACGCGAAAGAAGTTTTCTATGCGCCGTTAATTAATCCTTTTTCTATCACGTACCTTGTATTTGGAAACGGCGAATGCTATACCATTGGATATGCATACGTCCAATAAATGACGGGAGCATAATTTATAAGCTGAAATTACTAGCAATGTGGAAATAGCGATTATTTGCTCAATCATATAATAACTGATTGGAATTTATTATTCGATCGGTCGTATCCATCACGAGTAGTTAGCTAAAATGTGTAATATCCTATTGCGATAGTTTCTGAAATAGCGCGCGAATGTCCAGAAATAATCGATCGTGTTATTTGCTTCGCACATCCGCTGGATTTTGTATGCCTCTCATTTTGTGTCTTTTTTTGTTTAAGACTCACATGCCTTTTATAGCTTTAAACTCTTTTAAATATGATAAACGCCAAAGTTCCGTGTTCGGTGCGAAACAATTATGAGCTGGCAATTATTATTCCAAGCTTATATTTTCGCTCGTTGTACACGCGACGCGACATCATGCTAATGTTACCGTGTATGGAGTGGAGTATCGCGAAAAACTTGTTATCGCCTCTTGTTACAATGAGTCGCGCAAACGAAACCTTTTTTTCCTGGCGCATCGCGTTTTCATGTGGGAACCATGCTGGCCGTACCATCTGGCACTCGAGACTAATTAACTTCGGGGAGCGTGCCCATTTTACCCTTGCTAAACTCTTTGTACCTCGTTGACACAATTTTCAAGTTATTCGTGCCTATAGCGATATAATTTATTTCGAGCCCGCGGTACTATTTTTATTTCGCCGTTCATGGGGACCCAAGACTTAAAGGATATATATATATTAAATCGAGCCTGAAAGAGTCCTGCTACAGAGCTCTTACTTAGTCGCTTATTTACATACGACGATAAATATGGAAATCGAGAGGCGGATAAGTAGGACGCCTTTTCCCCTTTGATTGTAAAGCTCCTTTCATTGTTTTATGGGTTCGTTGCACTCGCGGCGAAGAAATTAGAGGCGAACATCAAATACCGTTTGCAGTTCCTACGAAAGCTAACGAGCTATCGGGCAGCAATTATATATCTTTTAAATTCACGAATGAATAAATTATTAAGTTTCGCCTTGGCAAACTAAGACGCAATGAACTCAAATAGAACGGTAATATTTTAATATTTTTACTAGCTGTAACGATTGCAGTATTACTTCCGAAACGTACCACTGGACGTTATATTACACTTTTGGTCGACGTCACTTGTATTTCTTGTGATATTTGATATACGACAAACATCACCTGCCTCAGTTCCGCGTATCCGCGCTAAACATACTGCGATACAATATTCAGAGGAATAATGCATAGCGTCTGTCAGTGTACGCGCACATATTTGTGGCCGAACTATTGAACTAGCGATATTTCTTGAATATGGTAGTCGCCGACTAGTTTCGCAACGACGCGGCTCTGTATCATAGTTTACAAACGTCAGTGCGATTCAACTAATGAATTATCGACCTGTGCCGCCGCGTCGGACGTAACTTATGTGTGCACCACTTGCCCGCGTATCTACCTCCCGTCTTTCGAGAGCGCATCTAATAGAATTTCCAGTATCATTGTCGAAAACACGCTTATTCTCTCTGTTTGAGCCGCAATCTGTTGGCTCCAGCTTGCATACTTACGTCGATATTACGTCGTCCAACGAAATTATTTCTGAGCCGTGCAGCTGAGTCTTGAGATATTATCCCGACGTCAATTTCGTCAAGTGTAGTCTTTTAAAAAAGATTGGTTCGCTCCGTGTATCGTGCACGTAAGATCTAAGATGTTTAAACATGTCCGGCGATTATTTACGTGTTTCTAGTGATTATTTGGATTGTAACGAAGCTTTACGTAAAAAGCTGCCATTTGTCTTGATAAAATATGAGATGTTCACTTCATTTTGCCAGAAAGTAATAACGTGTCGCAAGTTTCTTTCAAATTGCGCGTCCTTTGGCAGTCCGCGACATCAAAGAGATACATCTCGAAGCGAGACATTGCACATTCACGATTTATGAATTGCGAAATGTAGAACTCGTTGCACTACGTGATGTCTCGTGCCTCCAAGATTCGCGCAGCGCTCGAATCCGGGCACGCTTTGCCTGGCACGAGGCGGCAGGGGCTTCGCGCGTGCTTCAGAACTTTAACTTTTTCATTCGAGACCTCTCATTGTGCGTCATATCGGAATTCCACTGCTTTTAGGAATCGTTTATACGGAAAATAGGGAGCATCGATCGGGGAGTCGCTTACGTGACCCGGACTTACGTTTCGCCTTTAGATGAACAAAGAGAGCGCGAG